GCCTTTCGCTTGTTTTTCTTCCTGCATATGATGAAGCTGTTGTTCATTGAATCCTAATTGCTTGATTGTCCTGGCATTTATCTTTTCTGTCAACTTTTCCATAAATTTATTGTCTTTTTTCTTCACTTTCTGTTGTATCATCCTCAGCATTTTCAACGTTTATTTCCTTGGAAACAATGATGGCAGGATCTGTATCACAGTCTCCCTTTTCTATATCGACACTCGCAGTATTCATGATACAAGTTGTGAACAACCCTGCCACCTCCACACTACCTTAAACTGTTGATAGCTCTACTAACGCTTGTTTGGATTCTTGGAGCCTTGAGTTTATTCTGCTTTTCCAGCAAACTTCCTTCGCATTTTTTTATCTTGGAGAATCTTTTTTGTTGGCCTCTCAAACTGGGTACCGTTCTAGAAACAGTGCAGTCAAGTCTAAGTGAATTTAAAAATCCTTTGATTTTGAGTCCGGTTTGCGGACTTTTTCAGATGTTTAATGAAACGTTTGGATTTTAGGGTCTTTGCTTTGACCATTTCTTCCTTAAAAATCTTAAAGAACTGGCATTAAGCTCCATAACACCTTTGCTTTGCTTAACTTTTCTGATTATCTCCAAACATAAGCTAGAATATTTCATTGATTGATGCAGCTCTTTGACAAAAACTTGTTAAAGCATCAGTTATTTACCTAGCTCTTTAGACTTAACGTAACCCAACGAAACAACTTTTAAAAAAAAGATACAGCGTGTACAGGGTATCAAAATACGTAGCCTCCCTTTATTCGAGATTTTTCAGGAATTGATGACATTTGAATTAACTTGACGCCTGCCATTTAAAAGTACATTATATCGTCATTCATACGTTAGCCAGATTGGGCACTTTTATTGAATCATATACACTATCAGGACAAAAGTATTGCAACACCTGTGAAGGCGATTAATGGCGGATCACGCAACAAATTTGTTGTTGTCTGATTAAGCTATTGTTGAATCAGTCCATGAAGCGTAAATTTGAATATTCCATTTTTCAAAATTTTAACCCTATCCAGACTAGGCTTTTTGAAACTTTCGGGAGACTAGGGGGGGACACAAAGTGCCCCCCTCCGTAATTTCTTTGTCCCTCTAGCTAGGACAATGAACTTTGTTTGGATGGTACTCTTATCTATTCTTCAAATTTTAGTACTATTGTTTAATTTTTAAGTCACGTGGTTTAACGATGACGTCATCATAATGGTTGCCGGGTGGAGCAAAAATTATGAAAATTTTAGAAAATCTTAAAATATTCATAAATTCCAAAGCATCGGGCTAAGATTTTGAAATAAGCAAATATGATGCATTTTCTAATAGAAACAATCAGAATGACACAATTTTAATGTTATTTCTCAAAATTATTAACGTTCCAACACAAGAACTCAACATATTTTGTATTTGGCTATAGTTCTTTCTATATAACTAAATGATAGATACAACCAAATGTCATGTTTAACTTCATTTTTAATGCCTTAGCAGACAAATTAATCTAAATTTGCAGTTTTATTAATGTAAAACCTATAAATATGTCAAAAAATGTGTGCGCATGCGCAGCAGAAAAATCATAGAAAAGGATGTTGAATTTATATTTTCTGGTCAGAATCATGAAAAAGGGCACAAATTAATGCCTAGATACTAATTTTCATGAATATATCTACTTTTGTTGCGAATCCGTGGCAGATGAAACTTTTTTCTACTTGACTTGTTTTGAAAACGCCCCTACACAACCCCCTGATTAACAAAAAAAATATTATCTTTTTATATGAACATGTGTCAGACAGTTTAAAACTAAAAGTCAGGAGGTCTCAGGGGTATTGCTTTGAAACTCATGAAGTTATTTAAGAAAAACCAACTAGGGGGCACTTTGAGCCCCCCTAGTCTGGATAGGGTTAAACAAGGAATTGAAGTAACTTTTAAGTAAAAAAAATTTTGTGGAGGTGCTTCTGGTTATATAAAATGCGGAAACTTACTCTGGAAATGGTGCACAAAATTTGTTGATTAAATGCACTGGAATTCTCCTTAATTCTTCATAAAATCTCTAAGTCAGTTTTTGTTTGGACCTTAGAGAACCTGGTGGATTTTAAATCAGATCATTTTCGTTGGCAAAAATAAATTTTCGTTTATTTTAAGATTAGGTCTTTGTGATTGCCGAGGAAAGACATAGAGTTTGCAGATTTTCAGGCAAATTTGTATCAAAATGGTCTAGTAAGGGGGATGTGTTGCTCTTTATGAAAAAGGCTGGCTTTCTGATTTCTCTAGCATTGATTTGTTTCCGTCCACCAAAGATACCTTTTTGCATCACGTAAACTCGCACGTCGCTTCTTGGTGATTTACCAATTGATACGGGCCTAACTGTATCCAAAGAATAACCCAAGTTGAGTTGGAAAATTTCGGTGCTAGAGAAGTCGGGAATAATGACTTCATTTGTTGTTTCCTGATTTCTCAATATTTTGCTATCATTTACTTTAAAAAAATTCGAAAGATTTAGAAGTAAAAGACCAGTTACACAAAGTTTTATCACAACAACTACAATCCTGGTCAACAATAGCTGAGAAATTTGAACAAAAAGGAATTCGCGTGCTATATCTTCATATTATATGCGCTGGTGACCTAAACCCCCTTCCCCCCGGGGTCAATGTTGGTTAAGATAGTTACGGAATAAGTGGGGATCACTACATCGGTTACCAATCCAATCACAACATTGATTCGAGGGGAAGGGAGCGGGTGATCTGTAAGTAGCTTCCTTCTTTGCAAGTGTCTCAGCATTTTTGGCCAGGATCGTAGCTCCTTATCCTATCGATATATTTACATTTACCACTGCAGATATTTTTTCTTTTAACTGTAGAATTTCTTACGTAAATACTGTAATTCTGAGTATTTCGAAATCCTCAATAAATTTCAAAGAGTTTGACTATTGGTCTAGCATGTTTATTTTCTCTTTTACGGGGAGTAACTCAGCATGAAGATATAAGTTTGGAAGGCAATTTTTTATGCCATTTTCATTTGGATGTTGCAACACTTTTGTCTATTTCTTCATATCGATACATTTGTTTATACATATCGATACATATAGATAAATATATAATTATCGGTCTAAATCTTATCAAAATTGGAAAATACTTCTCTAGTTGTAAGGCCTTGTAAGCTTCATGTCTTGCTTCTATCTCAACTTGTTCCCTCTTGGTATTCCCTTCTCTTTCACCGCAAATGCCTCACTTGCTTTTCTCTATTATTGTGGTGTTTCGTATTCTCCCTCATTTGTTTCACTTAGGCTGTCGGTTGCGTTTTTGTCCCATGTCAAGGGCCTTTCTATATTCGAATCCTGCATTCTATATTCGATAACTGACAGACCTCGATTAAGCTCATCCAAATTGGCCCTATGCATCTTCTTCCTTTCTTCTTCTTTTTTTCCAACTTATTGCATTTGCCCGAAAGCTTAATGGGTCTGACACGGATGGCCTCATCGGCAACAAGGAATGCAGGGTTCGCCATTTCGTGATTTTCATCGAATATTTGGTATGCATGTCCTTGCTCTTTCAACTGTGGTTTGTGGGAATAGGGCCCAACAATCTATAACTTCCTAAGAAAACAGCAATTCCAAGCAAAATGCGCACTAAAAAGCGCAGTTGTCAACGTCGTACTCGAATTTGTATTTGAACCGGATCTAAACCTCTCTATTATTCCAGTCTCTGTACTTGCAAGTCATAGAACTTATGTCATAGAACAAGTTATAGAACGTATTGGAATGCTGCAGAAATCAATCCATCTTTTAAATTTCTTTCATTTAAACATCACTTCTTCCTTTTAAAAGTACAACTATGGTGCCTTGCTGAATATCTTGGGTAAAGTTTTCTTTATATCTAGTCTAGAAACATTATTTTTTTTCTTCTATCCTGATTTCTTTTGAGCATTCTTTTTATTTTTATTTCAATTTTGTTATCAAAAACTCCATTGTCAAATGCATGTTTCCTTTTCCATGGAATCAACTGTCTTTTCGTTTGGTCAATTTGTTCCTTTACTAACAAGGAAAAAACAAGAAAAAGCCAAGGAATTTGTAAATGATTTAAATTTTTTAAAAAAGAACTTGTATGAAGATAATGTAATAAAGAAATAAAAGTAGATAATGTATGTGATGTATGTTATGGTACTACCTTGATGATACTGCTTGTGCAGTATTGGTTACTTTTGGTTCATTTTGTAGTTGAAGCAATCAACATATTGCTAAAACATGTTGTTGCAAAAGATAATTTCCATTCCTCCCCCTCTGCTTCTCCACCCTTTGTTGATAGCATTATTGTAAATTTTCTGTTTGGGAACGTATGTCTGTATAAATCGTTATAAGTTTGGAAGGTATTCTAATGATACATCTGTGTATCTCTCCATAATCTTTAGTTTTACCAACGTTTTTCGATCTTGTCGATGGAATCTTAAATTTTGTGGGTTTTCTGAGATCGATTCTCAATAATTATCCAACATTCATAAATTGAAATAATATACAACGATTTTGGTTTAAGGAGTGTCGATCGAAATGCACTGTCTTTTATCTGCTTTCTAGAATAAAATATGTTTTTATGAAAACAGCGTTATGCTCTTTCATTGTTTTGTAGAATGTTAGCCAGAGATCGCTTACATGATAAAATCATAGCTTTTCCTGACTTTAAAAACATATTTTGGCATGGGGTTGTATTGTAATAGTAAAAAACTTGATAGGTTTCTATTCAAGCAAGCGATTATGCAAGAGTTTTTTCTGTCAAAACCACTAGATTATTCAAATCTTTTGAGAATCTTCACTTTTATATCAGTTTTCTAGAGCTAATCAAAAATAGCAACCATTATATAATCAGCAATTCAAGAGGTATGCTCTGCCCTCACTTCTTGTTTAGATGATGTTTCGAACACAGCAATGTATTATAATTTTCGTTATATTCAGTAGCACCAACCCGTTTGAGTAAGGAAAGAAGAGAAGGAAAAGTCTTCTGGAAAAGAATCGTTACTATTTATTTTATTGTGTCAGCTCTTTAACCTTTTCCATACCAAAATTACCTGAAACCTGTATCATATCTTGTACAATGTCTTGCTTTAATTTTCATTCTCTTGCTCATAGCACATCTTGCTTCATTTTTTCATTTGATCATATTCATCCACAATAACCATTCAGTTCTATAAAAGTAAATTGCGATAAAAAGTTACAATTTCTATCTAATTATACATGCCAAAAGTACATGCCCTAAGAACATCATTAGAATTAATCTAAAAACTGATTTTCCATGGATTCATACATCTAGTGTCTGTTAGCTCAAAAGGTGATTTTGAAGCTTTTGTTTGAATTATAAAATGGATTTGGTATCTCTAATAGATTGGGGGATACTATTTCAATCTTTTGGACCTGTGTACCAGAAACTTTTTTTGTATGTTCTAAGTTTAGTCTTTAGTTTTTTGTATGTTCTAAGTTATGACGGACCTTTTTATGAACCTATTTTGTATGCTTTCAGGACAAAGCTGATTGACAATTTTGTAGGTTAAAGGTCATCAATTGATTTACTTTCAGGGAGTTCTTATTCCAAGCATCCTTAACTCTCGCAGAATCTTGCTCATCGCATTGCCAGCCCTGTTCTCTTTATTTTCAGCATTTTCCATCTTTCATCTGATTTTCGGGCGAATTGATTATGATATTTCTTTTTTACACATTCTCTCGACCTGTAGAATTTTTTACCCAACCCCTCGACTTGAAATTCACATGCGCCTTGAAATCATCCTTGCCAACCAAAAAAATTGTAATATGATTTCCTCATCTCACGGGCAACAAAATTTCTCCTCCCGGGCCAGATTGTAGGTTGTAGGTTGCCCACTCCCGCCAAATAAAGACATTAATCACAGGTGCAATGAATTCAATCAACACTGAACAAATGATATTTGCTCATTAATATTCTGGGTAACGTTAGAAACTAGGAGAGACATATGTCTAATGGCCAATATGACCCTCCAAAGCTTGAAACTTTGCTTTGTATGCTTTTAAAAATCTAGCATAAAGACCCTATTATCCTGTGCGTTTCAAACGTAGTTGAAAGGTCATTGCAATTCTAAACCTCTAGCTAACATTGAAACGTTTAATAAGTTTGGTTTTGCTGGTCATTTATAATTACTCAATACAGTCTATGACGCTTAATAATAAGGAAATTTTCAAGATAAATCAATCTTTTCTCATATGAAAAGGTTTTGAGGTGTTTTATGGATATGAATTGTAAAAAACTGGCTATCATCGAATCTTGCAAATACAATCGTCTTTCAGGGAACAAGAAATTTGAACCCAAGAACTATCGACTCGTATGTGAAGAAATGTGAATGATTTTATTCAACAACTGCAGCAATTTCACTGCTTGGCCAAGTAAATTTGTGCCTAAGCATTTGTTAAGGCCGCACACTGCTACAAAAGAGTTCTTTCGCAATTTTTCCAGTCTCCCTTATCCTCTTTGCAATTGTTGATTGTCATTTTGTTTTTTTTCTATGGTGCGACGAACCAACATTTGTTGGCTTTTCAAAATCTTGCCGCATATGCACATGCGCAGTTAAATTCAAAGTCATTGTTTTCACGTTGCACAATATTACATGTGGTAGAAACATTGGTGACACTTATAGGAATAAGCCAATCTCAAATATAAAAGATGAAGAAAATTTAGTGAAAAATGAAATTCAAGAGAAAATTGGGGATGAAACTTTGGTGTTTTAATGATGCAATTATGATATACATTAGTTTTAATTAAGTGCTTTAAACGGCCATAAAATGTAGATTTTACCTTCGCCTTAATGCGCGTGCCCGAAGGATGCACTCTCTCATTGGCTCAGACAAATGAATACCTTCGCCTTAATGCGCGTGCCCGAAGGATGCACTCTCTCATTGGCTCAGACAAATGAATAGAATAATACCCGTAAAGAATAGACCTGTCTCCCCAACAATTTCAAACCTCACTTTAAAATGTTTCTCGTGATTCGTGTCCTGTAGAAGCACTGCAAGTCAACAAACGAACAAATAGGACTTTATTATTAACAAAATGTGTAATCAATCCTCCCTCTTTCAAGAGAAATCCTTTGACAGATTTCTTTATCCTTTTAAAAAAGAAAGGATTATTTCTAATGCATTTATTCTAATCTCAAGCAATCAAATCGCTCAATTGATACTCCACAGGCAAATCGTTTCTTAAAAGTCATGCTTTCAGTATTCTGTTTTTCAATTTGTTTAGTTGCTTAAAGCTCTTTAGATCTGAGGTTCACCTACTTAATAAGGCTGCAAGTATTGGTCCCGCTTCTCAATAACTCTTTATTCTCTTTGCTCTCAAGAAAGCAGCAGCAGCTGCATAAGTTGCTAAACGTTAGTTACTGAAATTTGAGCAAAATAACAACAACCTATGTATTTCCTTTTTTTCCACCTCTGTCAATAAATCTAATCTATAGGTGCGGTTGAGATGAATATTCCTTTCTGACAGCTGAAGCATTGCTTAGATTATCACGTATTTTATCAAGTAAGCTCCGTCATCTGGAATCTTTGTTAAACGCGTACGTTGGACTTCATCATTCAATATGACGAACTTAAATATTCAAGTTGACGCTCTGTTTGTCACAACCTTAAATCTTTGATAACATGAAAAATCATGTCATTGGAAAATATAAGGAATGTTAGCGAACTGACGAGAAAGTAGCATCGGAATCTTGTGCGACAAAATGATCGATAATCATGTGAAAGAAAAAAGTCTTTGAGAATCCTGTATGGTTTAATGACTATTTTCTCTGGTTTATTTTCTCTGGCGGAAACTGTTTAAAAACTGTTTTCTCTGGCAGAAGACAGAAAAACAACTTCATGGAAGCTATATTTTCATATTTGTTGCTGAGTAACACACAAATGCTAACTTAAGAGGATCAATAAAACCGGCTTTTCTTTGGCTTAACGGGTTGTCCCATCATCTGTTAAAAATACTGCTATCATGTGTAAAAAAAGTGTTGTGAAAACTGTAATGATAGTGTTATTAGTTGCAAGGCAAAACAAATTTGGTGGTCCTGGATGCAGCTCTTTCTACTAATTCCACTTAGCTAGATAACAAATCTGCAAACATTGGCTTTTGAAGTAAATACTGAGCGGCAAACAAAAACATGCTTCAGTGACACAGTAATGAGTTTTTCAAGATACTTTTGCACAAGATTTCGTAGTATTATATGCAAAGATCCATCAAATGAATATTTTTTTGCATGAAAGTATTATAGATGTAAATAGTCAGTATTTACTCAGGCCGATAAATTCAATGCTGCTAAAACATACTAACGAACAGGAAAATATGCTTTAGTTAATATACCGCATAGAAAGTTTTGCACTTGATACCATCGCAAGAATGTGTTATCGTTTGTCTTGCATTTTTACTGGAACTGTAATTGTTCAATAGGAAAGAAAAATAAACAGATTTGTAAGTTGTTTTTGACCAAAATAAATACCTTTATTGCAAGTTTATGAATTCCGTTCAAATTAATATTTTTTTTGCTTACTCCAATTCTATTTTGGCAATAGAGTGATGCTTCAAATGATCTTAGCATGCCAAAGTGCCATAGCAACTTTCATTTTATGTCTGGTTTTACAAAATGAAAGAAACGTCTAGAAATTGCAGAAAGGTTATCTTTTCTACCTACAATAGTCGGTGCTCCTCTGTTTGGAGGAAATCTGCTCGGCTCGTTCAAAATCACCTTCTTGACAAGAATATGGCGAGGTTCTGTCGTATAGTGTGTCGTATATGGCGAGGTTCTGTCGTATAGTGTGTCGTATATGGCGAGGTTCTGTCGTATAGTGTGTCGTATATGGCGAGGTTCTATGCATTGTCTAAACAGATTTTCAGTTTGTTTCAGAACTGTTGAGAAGGAGCTGTTTTACATTTGCTAACTCCCAATACTCTTAAGAACAAAAACCAAGTAAAATTCAAAAAGGAAATTAGCATGCTTTTGCCGGAAAAAGTTCTTTTCCCCAAAGAGAAAAGAAAGTGTCACGAGAATGGCCCTCTGTGCAGAAGGTAATATATATCTCTCATCGATTAGCTTCCTTTACAAAAAGCGATCTAGTTGCAAAGAAATCCCGAAACGGCCCCGTCCCTCTATAACCACTTGACCCTGCCTAGTACGGATAACAAGTTATTGTGATATTCCGCGATTTGACGTCCCCTTTCATGTATATTAATAAGATATCCTCTGTGTTGGATAATGTTTTCTGTTTACCAGAAGAAGCTTTCCATGGTCTAAGTAAATGAAGGAGCCCTGTCTTGTGAAAGTAAACAGGTTTTTGAGGACCATTGTCTTTCCAAAATATAGCGATTGTGACCCAGGATTTCCAAGGAACTATATTATTTATATTGAAAAAGCTTCGCCACGTGGAAATAGAATAAATCTTTACTGGCCCTTCAAGTTCTTCCTTTCTCTAAAGGCTTTGAAAAATTTCCCTCGTTACAAAAAAAATTATTGTCTAATAAAAAATATTCTACAGCATGTTACTCCGCGAATCCTTGATAATAACACCTTGGATAAGTTGACAGAAGCTACTCAAATCTTGAAGCTAAACATGAATTTTAATTTGATCTATGAAATAGGTTCAGATTTTACTCTTATGTTACTTTATGTTAACAAGAAAGCTAATGGATCAAAACGACAGTCCTGGAAATGTAACGAGAAGAGAGAGGTTGGCCCGAAAAATCAACACCATACCACACCTCGTTTTTTTCACAAGATAACATCAGTGGGTGCATCTCAAGCTCACAACCTTGCCATTTAGCTGCACTTTTTTGAATTTAAGTCTGCACATATCGCCACAGAGTGATATCGTTCGTGAATAGCGGATTCAAATCATTTCTGTTTTATATTCCATATGTTTATTACTGCCAATTCTTATAAGATACCTCTTCGAGAATAGATTCGTGCATATACTTTGATTACTGATTAATAATTCCCTATTTCAAACGCCCCTTAATACGTTTCGTTTGTATGGCTGTTTCTTTTTTCGGTCAAAAGGCAGGGTTAGGATTTATGGGCAGGTACTGTCATTTGTTTAGACAAATAATGTTTGCACGTCTGTGTCTATATGAATGTTTCTTTGGTTTAAGTTTTGTTCCTTCTAATTCTTTGCTCTTTTCATCATTTTTACTCCTCTAATGCTGGAGTATCTAGCTCAATGCCAGAGACTCTGGGAATCTGCTTTTGCAACATCAGGAGATTTCAACACACAACATAACATTTCCCCTTTTGACAATTTAGAGCCAGTGTCAATCTTATGATGTCAGGGGTTTACTACAATTAGAAAATACTTTTTCTATTGATTGTTTTTAAATTTTTCAAAATTTTCAATAAAGATGTTATGTGCATGTTTCATTGGGTTATTGACGTAATACTAATAAATAACGACTACGGCCAAGTCTTTCAATAAAAGTGCTAGAAAAAATGAATTTAAATTGGCGCCGTACAAAATAGAGGCAAAACATGTTTTCTTTCTCCTTTCCTTTTCATAGCAGTAATTTTCTTGTAATTTTATAAATTTTGATAGGTTTTCGTCTGTCTTTTGCTAGATCTTGCCCTCCTCCATCAACGCTTCCTTATCAAAATTACTGATATGGTCTCCGCACAGAGACAAAAACACCATTACTCGATGGGTTTGCGTTTCTGTGCTGTCACGAAGAGCAAAGTGAATGAAATGGAACATGCTTATTCAGATCACTCATGTAAATAATCGCATTGAGCATCGAAGTTGATTGTTAAAGCGTTCCCGGGTGTTTTCAGCTCCCTAACCATGCATTTGTGGTCCCAAAAGCATATTTTCTTTCCACCCTAGCTATGGCAGTTCTTAAATTGGAAGTTTGTGATGAAAACAAAGTCTTATACTTGGAATGACATACAACCATCCACGTGGTTCAACTTGTTTTGTTTTGCTCTAGCGCACAGAATTAAAAACAACTTCTTTTGTTGTTGGCTCAAAACATAGAGGCTTCACGCTTTTGTGCTTCGGTTTTTATGTACGATTATGGTTTTCATTACTTAATTATCCTTGTGTTTTGATGCTTATGCACGTTGTGCGTTTGTCGTTGCAGCGAAATAACCTCGAATGCAAACTCCTAGCAGCGTCGATGCACTGAAGCAGCTCTTTGCAAGTTTATATTTGCAAGTATGGTACCAACTATCACGTCATGTCTAGTGTACGTCTTTTTTATCTTGGTTCTTCTCGTTGACCACAATATTGGACAGCGTATCAATATACGGTATGAGGCCCAAGTCAAGATTTTGTCAGAGACCGAAAGAGCATCCCTGGGCACTGCAAAGGCTCTGCGAACACAAATCCGGAAAAATAGGAGGCGAGCAAAGTTTGGAGGCGAACTTGATTTTACAACTGAATATTTTCTTCGTGCAAGTAAGTAAACCAGATATTTTTTCAGCTTCCTTTTCTATCTGGTTTTAAATTAACCTTGTCCTTGTTAGTTTATGTTAGAAAGTAGTAGGAAACATCCAACATTTTTATGGTTTGGATAGTTTTTTTTTCAAATATTAAAAGCGTTTGAGTCTAGTGGCCTACAATCCATACTTTGACAACAAATTTCATGCAACATTGATCTTGCACAATACCAAAAGATAAACTACTCATTTTATATTGGCGGCAAGAGCAATGCACTTTTTTATATAACTAGGAATGGTATGAGTCGTGCAGTAGATCCAGCAATGCACGCATTTTATGTTCGAGACCGTCCTTAAAAACTGACCTCTAAAGCTGAAAATTTAAGAAACAATGGTACGAATAACCCTAAACTTCACGAAACTCCTTTAAAAAGATTAAATTAACAGTGGGATGAAATGATTCTTTGGGAAAGTTTCATACTTATTTTGTGGTTCAGTTGACATGAATAGTTGAAAGAAGAAGTTAATTGCGATTGATTTGGTGTTTATTTTTATATTATACCACGTATATGGTTTCCTAAAAATTTTTAGGCAAAAAACTTTTAAAATAGATTCATATAAACTAGTTTCAAGAGTCTTCATCACGAGAGTTTTAAATGGAGTGTTGCGGTCACAAAAACAAAAGATCGAAGAATCACTTCTTTCTTTATTGTCAGTCTGCATCGGACTTACGTCATGTGTCTACGCAGCTTCATAATAAACATGAAGTCATCGTCAGAGGATTTCCCCATCTTTAAGTGGATCAAGTGACCTTCGAGAAACTGCTCGTCTTTCCTAATTTAGTGAAAGGACACATTCACATTGTTGGCTTTTTGAAAATGATTGGTAGCAAAATTTGGCAGAGAAATAATTGCTATTTAAATTAGCATGATTCTTTAAATGGTTATGTTTTCCGACACATTGCAGTACGGGCGTATTGTCGACACGAAGTTATTCTGCTTTGTTTTAATCAATGAAAAAGAAATACCCACTTTAAATTGTCCAGTGTCTTTTGTCTGACCACATCAGGAAGTAACCAATTTACGACCATAATTTTAAGAAATTACTTC